GTGGATTAAGTTAATTTTATAGTGGATTACGATAATCTTTCAGTGGATTTTAAGTTAATTTTTCTTTTTAATAGTGAATGTTCATAAATTTTGATGTGTAGCGGATTTCATTTTTTGGTAAATCTACTGGAAAAAAATGATTTTCACAAAATTTCGAAATAATTATAGTGAAATCCGATAAGTGTGTAGTAGATTTCAATTTGGTAAAATGAAAAAAAAAATCAATAAAAAATATTAATTAAAAGAATAAACTGAAAAAAGAATATTTGAAAAAAAACGTAAAATTAAAAATAATAAACGAATAAAAAAATTGAAAAAATAAAAATAATAAATAAATAAATATTTTTTTAAGTAGAAAAAAAAACAATTTTTTGAAAGAAAATAAAAAATAAAAAAATCTGAATGTGAGGATTTGCATACATACGTATTTTTTAATTAATTTCCCATATTAATTAGTCTTTAATATTATTATGAATATAATAAGGGTAAATGAGGTATTATGCTAAGTGAGGGGTTATCCCTAATAGTGAATAAAAAATTGGATTTATCCCTCTAAAGAAATTGTATGAGGGGGTTATCTCAGTTATTCAATTAAAAAAAATGGGGTAATAAATTGCGATGTGAAAGAATTTAAAAATAAAAAAAGAGAGGGACCAAGAAATTGATCAAACTAACAACTAAGAGATGCGTATTAATGAATGTAATGTGGAGACAGGTGAGAAGTTAATATCCATGTGTTTTTTGCAGTTTTCTTAATAAATAAAAGTTATTAGATATTGCTGAAATCAATTTGTTCAGAGAATTCTACGCTGTGGATAGTGAAATGGTTAGGAAGATATGGGGAACCATTAATATTTGTGAATTATGATTATGCCCCACTTTTTTTTTTTTTAATCTTTTAATCCCACTTGATTCGAGTTTTTGTTGTCTTTTGATTTTATTTGAGTCAAGGTTGACCCTTTTTTCTAGGTTCATTTTTGGAAATAATTATTAAGAGCAAATTACGGCCATCCTGTGGTGTGGTTAAATTACGAAAAAACTACTCTTGTTTGGGTAATTGCAACCACCTTCTTTTAAATATTTTTACGTAAAAGTTATGTAATTTGGTTATTTACCGAACCAAATCGTATATTCAGTTGGGTAAACGGTATGAAATGTCGGCGTACCGAAATTTCGATTCGGTTTTACCGATTTAACATTCCTAAATCTACCTATGGAGTGGTATTTTCGTTAGATAATAAATACATAGTTGATGGGGGTGGTTGTAATTACCCAAACATGTGAGGGATTTTCATAATTTGACTATGATTCAGGGGTGGCCGTAATTTGCCCTAATTATTAATTAGTGATGAACCTGTCTTTATATTTATCGCGAAATTCTTAAAAACGCGAAATTCTGAATTGAACTGAATGTAAATCAACTACGCTGTTTAGATAGTTGATTACTATCGAAATACTTCAGTTGATCAGAATATTAAACCGTATATTAGACCTCAGATACAATAAATCGAATATTAAATAAACATAGTTGATTTACTATGACATAACAAATACTAAAATCGATGGAAGAAAAACGGTAATAATTCCGGAGAAGACGATTTCAGCGGAGGCGTATGGGACGGAGTTTAATAGAGTATTTGCCCATACTTGGAATGTAGATGAAGTTTCAGTTAGTGTGAGTTCCTTCCTAGTGGTTGAACAAGTCTTATTATTCTTATGATGCAATGCTGCTACAAGTCCACAACTTACTTACCTAGCAGACCAACCAATTAAAAACTTGTCCCCACATCGAAATTCAATTAATTCATTTCTCAAACTTAATTCCTATCCATATTTTTTCGCATTCATGCAAATCTGGCATATATATATAATAACATATATTTATACAGACACACATTTATGTGACAACCTCTGTAGTTGTTTTTTTTTCTCTTTTTCATTTATTCTTCACCATAAAATGTGTCACATGCAGCATGTAGCATAACATTTGCTGTCGGATTCCAATACTTTTAATTTTCCTCTTCTTACGGAGTCTGGTTTTTCGTAACGAGGACGAATAGTTACTGGTATCTCAATTCCTCGAATGCATGACTTGAGCACATAACCAAATCGATCATAGACGCAGTGTGCGTTCATGTCGAGGTGTCATCCGATCAGGTTCTACTGTACGTGAATGGGAAATGAGTTTGTGCAGTATAAATATTAAATCAAAGTGAGAAAAACAAAAATCATTAATGATTAATTAATTATTGGTTATTTTAATTATTCCACAACACACAATAAAATGATTTGCCAGCTGAAAGCTCCACCTAACTCACTCCGCGTCTCATAAATACGTATGACTTTGCATAAGTTGATGTCTATATATATATATATATATATATATATATATATATATATATATATATATATATATGAGATATGGTTACCCATTTATATATTCTGAGTGCCGAATTATTAGTTAAACTTATGACTTACGAGAAATACTTCAATTTTGGGAATGGGAAAAGTTATGATTGTGACAAAAGATGGAATAGATACATACAAAACAATAAGATCGAATGTAGTTCATGTAACAAAGTCATATGTTCCAATGGGGGCCAATTTCTTGTATCTAATGTACTTTATGTTGGATCCGAAAAACAAATTACTTGTATCCTGTTATTCTGTATCTATTTGTTCGAAGAAAAAAAAAATACTTTTTTAAAATTATAACAATAAAGTTCTGCGTGAGGGTGCAAATTCAATCAGTCAAGCTTGGTTGTTTTGTCGAGCTTGAATTCATTTTGAGGAGTTCGAGCTCTTTGAGTATTTTTTCTTTGGATTCAGTTTGAGCAACGGATCCTGACGTGGTTCGAGTTCGAGCTCGAGCCTGAACCCATTTCGTGTATTTTCTTTTTTATGTATATTGATATTATCAGAATTCTATCAATATTATAAATTATAATAAAGAAATTCAAAATAAGAAAATGAGTTGTAAATTTTTTTATTATTTAAATGTTTATTATTTAATTCTATATTAATTATATTTAAAATAAAATTTAAATAATTAATTTAAAAAAAAAGATAGCGAGCCGACTCAGTAGTTTACGAAGAACTAATATTAATCTGGGCCTCGACTCGTTAGAAAGCTCGAGCTCGAAAAATTCGAATTTGACTTCGAACTTTTGCCGAGCCGACTCAGCCCATTTACTCCCCTAGTTTGATTTACATTAAAGATTTTTATTAAGTGGATTCTTTTCTAGATAAATGTAAATTTAACTTAATTTGATACGACAATGATGTGATTCAACCTTACAACTTGATACATCAACAGCACAGTAACAGAAAAATCTGTTCAGTCTTCTAACTCTCAACATAAAATCGTGTACAAGATAATATATTCAGTCTAAAATAGTAAATATTGACTAAATGAAGGTTGTTTCATTATTTTAATTTATGATGGGGTGAAGTATATATATAACAATATTTTCCACAATCTATATATAGTTTATACCTTGCCAATTTCCATGAAACGCATGTTAATCTACAAACAAATTAAATTCACTACCTTTTATTTAATGACTAATTACATATCTTTTAATTGGATTTATTAATTTGATTTTTATTTAACAAGTATTTGGAGTGGCCTATCAACATCGAAGCAATCAGTACGGACTTATCTTAATTTCCGGATTATATCATACATATGTTGCATTTTTTTTTAATCTTCTATGTTATCTAACTCTAATTTCAAAGAGTTTCGGCAAGCTCAAATATACTATATTTAAAAAAAATTACATATATTTACTTGTTCAATGATATTTCTATGAATATTTTCAAAAAAACTTCAGAGCACGGCCTTGAACCCCGTAAACTTTTGGTTTAACTTAACCTCATCAATATTTTAGTTATATTTTCCCTAAAAATCCTAACTACTAATCAAAAATTTCTTATCTAATCGTACTTATTAATGAATTAATATGTACATTATACAATACAAAACATGGGTTCATCAAATTCTTAAAACTCGCCTAGAGCTCTCAATTTCTCAGGAACAACCCTGTTTCTTTTATATAATTAGTTAAAAAAATTTGGGTAAATTAGGCTACCCCCTGATGTATGGTCAAATTACGAAAAAAACCCTCTTGTTTAGGTAATTCCAGCCACCCCCTCCTTTAAAATATTTTTACGTAAAATTTATGTAACTCGGTTATTTACCGAACCAAATCGTATATTTTGTTCGGCAAACGGTATGAAATGTTGGCGTACCAAAATTTTGGTCCGGTTTACCAAATTAACAACCCTAAATTTACCTCTGGAGGGGTCTTTTCGTAAGATAAATATATAGTTGAGGGGGTGACTGTAATTACTCAAACAGGAGGGGGGTTTTCGTAATTTGACCATAGCCCAGGGGCGGCCGTAATTTGCCCAAAAAAATTCAATGTTCTCGTAAATAAGTCACAAACCAAACGATAGAATGATGTAATTATAATTTTTTGATTTTTGTTTTGTAATATTTGTATAAAATATGATATAAAAATAAAATGGGTTGAGAGCATTAAATATGGAGAGGGAAGTCACGCACCAATCAGTGGGTGGGAGTTGAGAGATCCCTAGTGGTTTAAATTAAAGACAACGCTGACTCACATGTACAACTTGCACCTATCCCCCTATCCCCTCTTATTAATATATGTTACCGTTTTTTTCTTTTTTTTTTTCTTCTCATCAAACAAACAAATACATTTTCTCAACTTTTTTTTGTTTCTCTCTCTACTTTCTTTCTTTCTCTCTCCTCTCCGAAAGACAAATTAAAAACCAGAGGACAAAAAGAAGAAGAAGAAATAAAAAAAAAAGCAAATGGAACTCGTCGACGTTTTGTTCTACTCTCTCTTTCTTCTTCCTCTCTCTTACTTCCTATGGAGGCTCTTCGACCGCCGGAGAAACCAATCCTGCTACATCCTCGACTACGAGTGCCAGATGCCGCCGGAGGATAGGAAGCTTTCCACCAAATTCTCCGGCGAGATCATCATCCGTAACAAGCAGCTCCGGGTCAACGAGTACAAGTTTCTTCTCAAGGCAATCGTCAGCTCCGGCATCGGGGAGGAGACGTACGGCCCGAAGATGGTGTTCGACGGCCGGGAATCCTCGCCGTCGCTCGCCGACGGGATCCTGGAAATGGACGAGTTCTTCACCGACACCATCGACAGGCTGTTCAAGAGGACCGGAATCCACCCGTCGGAGATCGACGTGCTCGTGGTCAACATTTCCATGATCGCCACGCTACCTTCTCTCTCCTCCAGGATTGTGAACATGTACAAGATGAGAGAGGATATCAAGGTGTACAACCTCACCGGAATGGGGTGCAGCGCCAGCTTGGTCTCCGTCGACATCGTACGGAACATCTGCCGGAATCAGAAGAACGTGCAGGCGCTGGTGGTTACGTCGGAGTCGCTGAGCTTGAACTGGTACAACGGCAACAACAGATCCATGATTCTCGCCAACTGCCTCTTCCGCACCGGCGGCTGCGCCATGATCCTGACGAACAAACCCTCGTTGAAGCACAGAGCCATGTTCCGCCTCAAAACCCTAGTCAGAACCCACCACGGCGCCAGGGACGAGTCGTACGGCTGCTGCGAGCAGAAGGAAGACGAAAAGGGCTTCGTCGGCATCTACCTCGGCAAGAATCTCCCCAAAGCCGCAACCCGAGCATTCGCCGACAACCTGAAAGTCATCGCCCCCAAGATCCTCCCGGTGCGCGAGCTCCTCCGCTTCGCGGCGGTGCTGATTTTCCGAAAACTCCGCCAAAAATGGAGCAAGGCCGCCGCCGCCGCCGCGGCGGCGGCGGCGCGGCCGATGATAAACTTCAAGACCGGGGTGGACCATTTCTGCCTCCATACAGGTGGGAAGGCGGTGATAGATGGGGTGGCGCAGAATCTAGGGTTGAGTGAGTATGACGTGGAGCCGGCGAGGATGACGTTGCACAGGTTCGGGAACACGTCAGCAAGCAGCGTGTGGTACGTGCTGGCGTACATGGAGTCGAAGAAGCGGTTGAAGAAAGGGGACCGGGTTTTTATGATAAGCTTCGGGGCCGGGTTTAAATGCAACAGCTGTTTGTGGGAGGTGATGAGGGATTTGGAGGGCAAAAACGTCTGGGAAAATTGTATTGACAGGTACCCTCAGAAGAATCTCGCCAATCCATTCCTGGAGAAGTTTGGATGGCTTCACGAAAAAGATGGCGACACGTATTCCATTCCCGATGATTACGTAGTACCTGAATGAATTAATTCTTCTTTTTTTTTTCTTTTTTTCTTTTTTTCTTTTTTCTTTTCTTACTATGCAGTACTCTGTGTTATGATATTATATTTTTACATTTGATCGTATAGCATTTCCATATAGGTTTGATTATATAAATTTTTGCTTTTTGATCTTGATCATATAATTAAGTCAGTTGCTATGTTAATTACTATATATATTAAGTTCAAACTTCAAAGGAGAAGATATATACAATTGTTTGTATCGAATGTGAGTCAAATATATGTAATATGTTCATTACAACAATGAATGAAACAAATTAGAGTGATATATATATATATATATATATATATATATATATATATATATATATATATATATATATATATATATATATATATATATATATATATATGATTTGTTTTTCTTCTAGCTTTGCTTTTCACTATGAATGAAACGAAAGTGGAAGATAGGGGATCGAGGTAGTTTGATGCTACATCTGATTTTTTATATAATATAGATTTGATTAAAATAACTATCCACAAAACACACATATATATATATATACATGAGTGTGTGTAATT